CTCTCTTTTTTTCCTACCAAACAAATCTTAAATGTTTAGTTTATTAGAATCTTGACACAATATGCTACTTTTGTAGTGGTTAAGCTATTTCAAATAAACAATACAATGAACGAAAATCTTGACACGATATGATACTTTCGTAGAGAATTTGTTAATCTACTTCAGATATACAATACAATGAAGTTTTTGAAATACATTTCCTTCCATTATTTTTTGGTAAAGACATTCCTCCCATTAGTAGTATAGTTCTTTTTATTCTTTTTCTTTATTTATTCAGAAATACTATAAATAAATATGTTATAAATATATTTTAGTAAGTATTTTCAAAAATAGTATATTTAGTATTTTTTTGATAAATATTTCTTAGAATATTAAACATAGTATTTCGAAAAATATTTTTTATAAATATATTTTTAATATTTAAAAAATAATTTCCAAAAATTTGTTTTATAACATATTTTTTAAAAATATGCATAAAACAAATTTGTTCCAGTTGATTATCATAACCTTGGAAATCAAATAAACATCTTAATAAAAGTTCACCAACTTCAATCTTTTTTACATAAATAATTACTTTTTACATATAAGTCGAATTTTTTTTTATCAACAAATTTTTTTTATAAGTATAAAATCATATTACATCTATACATATGACATACCCTTTAGCAGGTTTTTGAGCAATAAGTAACGGACAAAACAGTCCCCTATGGGTTCTCCTTGCAATTATTTTATATTTATCCGAAGTTAATGAAAATATTAAGTAATTGCATTTACTCAAAAGATTATAAAGATACCTGCTACCCCAATACATCATATTAAATGTTGACTCTCACTCAAAAAAGTTATAACATATTGTTATGAATTAATCACTTATATAGTGTAAATTTATTTATTTTATACTGATAACTAATTATATCTTTTAATTGTGTCATGTCATTATTAAAAATAAATGTGTTTATAGTAACATGACATAATTAAAAAATATAATTAATTATTAATATAAAAAAACTTTACACTAACAGTATCTAAGTGATTAACTTTATTGTTATTGGCATTCAACAGTGACCCAGGCACATTCTCTGTCCTAATCTTTCCCATTATGTGATTTGTTCATCCACAATACACGTATTTGTATTTGCATTCGATTGATTGAACGAGTAACAAAAGGTAAGGTCATATACTTTCAACCACGACCAACAGTGTAAAAAAATCTCCTGTGTAATTTCCTCTAGATTCACATCCTTGTTTTGGAAGACACATTCATTTCTTCTATTACATATAGTCCAAATTTCGGAACATCAAACAAATCTCCACCTAATGTTTGTAGTATTATTTTTTCTTGGCATAATATGTTGCAAAACAAATGTGCCTTTGCAAATGTAGGGGAAACAAACGGGATACCAAGAATTGAAAATAGTGAATCCCAAATCCGTGAAATAATATTTGTAACACCCCGAATTTTCTACTAATATAATGTTAATTATTATTTATTTTTATATTTATGAAGATTATTTTTCTTATAGTTATTTTAGTTAGTTAAAGAGTTTAATAGAATATTGTAAAGGTTTTTAATAATTTAAATTATTTATGAAAATTTTATATAAAATTCTGTTTTAGGCCCAGAACGGGCTGTTCCAAAAAGTGGAACGGCCGTTCCAAACAATGAAGACAAACTGTTTTTGAGGTATCAGAACGGGCTGTTCCAAAAGTGGAATGGGCCATTCCAAAATTGTAAAAAGACCTATTTTTGTTTTACCAGAACGGGCCGTTCCCAAAGGGAAACGGGCCGTTCCGAGATTTTAAAAAATGCCTAAAAAGTTTTGTTAGAAACTGGGCGTTCCAACTATGGTCAATGAGTGTAAACGTGAAACCCAGAACGGGTCGTTCTAATTTTAGAACGGGCCGTTCTGCTTTTTGGAAACGGGCCGTTCCAGTTGAAAATTTTGCACAGATTCGAAGGATCTGGAACGGGTCGTTCCGAAATCAGTACGGGCCGTTTCGGGTACACCAGGTTGCCTATAAATAGGGGCAGGGGGGGTGAAAATTTTATAACTGAGTGAGAAGTGAAAATCTTAGAGAGAGAAAGAGAGAGAAGAGAGAGAGAGAAAGAGAGAGAGAGAGAAAGAGAGAGAAAGAAAGAAAGAGAAAGAGAGGGAAAGAAAGAGAAAATCCAGAGGAGGAGGTCCTGCCCAAGTTTCAGCTTCGCTTATCCAGGTAAGGGGGGGAGTGAGAAACCTCGCTCGGGGGTGTGGGGATAATTGTTGGATAGTTTGTTTGTCGGATTGACCCCCAATCCCTTGTCGTTGTTCTGTTTTATTTTATATTTGCTCTGCTCTGTTCCTTGTTGGAAATAATAAATGATTATGTAACCCCAATCCCTTGCCTGTTGTTCTGCTTTTCTGTTTGCTCTACTTTGTTCCTTGTTACTTTGTTCCTTGAAAGTAATAAATGAATATGGAATTAATGCTAAAATAAATAAGTTTTAATATGAATGATAATGTTCTCTATGGATACCTATGTGGACCTTATGAGGAGTATTTATGACATGACCATGTGAAATATGGACAAATGACGTGAGACCTAAGAATGAACTATTGAGACAAGCTGAGATTATAAGGATATGAAAAATGATGACATGATGTACTAAATAAAATTTTGTAATAAGTTAAATGTTGAGTCAATGAGATTATGAATGTATGACATGCATCATATGCATATATTACTCCAGGTGTGCCGCTGAGGCCGCATACCCACGATGTAACATGCTAATAAGGTGTACCTTATGGTCACCCACGATGTAACATGCTAACAAGGTGTACCTTAGGGTCACCAACGATGTAACATGCTAACAAGGTGTACCTTAGGGTCACCAGTGATGTAACCAGGTGTACCTTAGGGTCACCAGTGATGATATGTGAAACTTCTGTATGGCGCCACATGCATGCATTTATGAGTCGAGTCCATGATATCATTGCATGATAAATGAGTGTATATGTGATATTAATGATGTATGTGTATTGTTTACATGTGACTTATATTTGTTGGGTGTGTGTGTGGGTGCTATCTAACCTTTATTTCTGCACCTGAAACTGAGTGAGATGTTTCTCACTCCCGTGTTGTTTTTGTATATGTTTAAATTATGTTGCAGATGATTAGCATCATGAGGATGTGGTTGATGAGGCTTAAGGCTTCAGTTGGGCATGCTCTGATAGAATGTGACATCGGGGCATAGCTAGCTTAGTTTAATATGTTAATGTTTTAATAACTTTAGTTTCTCTTCTTTTGTAATTTCTAACGAAGAGATAACGTAGATAAAGTTTATAATCCAAGGAAAATGTATGTTAAGAATTATAATTTGAACGTTTTTGATAAAAGACCCAAATGTGCATCTTTGTTATATTTTTATTACATGATTTGGAAGTTATAAATTAATCCCTAACCAGGAGGCACTGCTACCTTTACTGGAGTTAATTTATATTTCCTTTATTATTATTTGTATATATATTTGATTTCTTGTTTTTCACTAAATTGTATTGAAAATCTTAACTTCTTTTCTTTTATAATTTTTACATTGGAGTGATGATTTATGAGTTATGAATGTGAATCTTCTACCTTGTGATATTTGAGACATTTGTCAACTACAAAAGATTTTATTTACTCAAAAAAAGAAAAAGAAAAAGAATATTTTGTTTACATTTATTGTGTATTAATGTTGAGGTAGAAGGGTGTCACAATATTACTCAAACAAAATATGGATCAAAGAATCCTCTTGTCTTTCACAGAAAGCATGATAAATTTCCATCATTAACTATAATATCAATCTCACTGAGTATAGGTTAGATGTCTCTTCTAGCCAAACTTAAGAATCTTGAGTCTCCTTGCAAGGCATAAGGTCTTCCAAATGATAAAGGAAGTGATTAAATTGTTCTCTTTCCCACTTGAACCATTCTCACCAAGAAAAATTTCATCTCCAAGAATCACTCTCCCATACACCTATATCACCAATTGTTTGTTGTCTTTGTTGAGAGTTAAGATATATTCTTGGATAAGATGCTTTCAAGGATTGATCTCCAAGTCATGGATATATAACAGTCGGCTGCTGCTCTACTTCCTCTAGGTGCTGCTACTACTCCAAATTTTCAACAGGCTACAGTTCACAATACCAAAGCAAATCAACCAAGGGCAACAAAGTTAAATATGAAAAAAGGATAATAAAAAAGTATGAAAGCACCTGAAAACCTTAAAAAGCCACCAAATTTAATTCCCCAATTCTGCTTTGGATAGTTGATACACTGTCACCAAGCTCTCCATCAAGATCAGACTGTGAAGCAAATGCCTCACAGACAACACTAATTTGCCACTCATGGGCAAAGGGGCAAAATGTTTCAACAAGCTAAGAAAAACAAGCTACCATTAAAAAAAATGAAAAATGCTGCGTAGTATATTTTAATAAATTTTAATAATAAAAGACAATAAACCTAAGATTCATTAAATTTTGACTTCAAGTCCTTGTCTGTGAAGTAGGTTTTTTCCAACCATTGCAACACGCGGGGGAATTTCATTGTCTCTGGCCTATTGGATGCGCATAAATGCTCGAATGTCCATACATTTAAAACGGCAACGCGTCCATTCAAATCAATTTTTGTAGGGCAATGGGTGAGTATTTTTATACATAATTAAGGGAAGAAACCAGTTTTTCATGGACAACTTTTGCCCGGTTAAAATTTTCTAAATGATTAAAATCATCTAGATATTTTAAGTGAAAATCCAAAAATATGCCAGATTTCGGGAAATAAAACTCTAAAAAGGAAGCAACAATATACCGCCGACAGAAGTTGTCGACATCATCATCATTTTTTGTTCTTTCTATAACCGACAAAAAATTTTCATATGACAATTTTCCATCACACAAATGATGTACAATAGAGCCATTACTTTTCTCTTGAAGATTTATGTCAACACCTATACTTGGCAAGTATAAGTGTGATTTTTTCAACAGAAAATTTGATCAATCTATCTAGAATTAGAAATGACCGACATTCTGGTTTCCAACTACAGTAAAAAAAGGCAAAAAAAAAAAAAATTAATTCAACACAATCAAAATTTATATATATATATTCGAAAGAAATTTTTACCGGCTCACAAGCTCCAGTAACAATAAATTGCTGACACGGATAGTTTTTTGTGCCCATCCTAGACAACATCAAATTGAATGGGGTAGTTTCCAATTTATGGAGCTGTCGTTCCGACAACTCATTATTCAGTGCACTCACCCTGCCCCAATGCAAGGCATGTCTTACCCGAACCTAACCCTACAAACAAGACAAAAGATATGAAAACAAGGAAATATTATATTATGTTAGCCTATTAGAATTGACAGAATCGAGAGAGAACACGACACTATATTTACCTTTTCAGATTTTGTCTTAGCACTTGTTTCCACTTGGGATGCCGCCATGCCTAAAACCAAAATCAAATTAATAATGAAAATGAAACGAGAACAATTGTTTAATGAAGGTAATCTATGCTACATTTCTTTCAAATCAAGAAAGCTCATGTTATTCTTTCCTTTTTAGGCTTGAGGTTGTAAAAGAGGTAAAATACATACTAAGGAAATGTCCTAGCTCTATTCATTGTAGTACAGCAAACAGTAGCTGTGTTTTTACTATTGTTGCAGCACTATTTTTCATTTGATTGTATGTCTTTTATCATACAATACCATATTATCTTTGTTTATTGATGAACTTTATAGAAAGTCTTTTAAGAGTTAATGTTCTAAGCTATGTAAATTGAAGTGATATAAATATTTTGTACTTGGAACTATTCCTAATCCAGGGATTTGACACAAGGAAGGGAGAGATTGGCGCCAGATTTTAAAAACATCAATCAAAGACCCAAATACTTTTTAGTAAAATGCTAATTACAAGTTTTATATAAATTAAAACTTTGCAAAAACCTCTGATTTCTCCAAGTTTATCTTATTCAATATTATAGAGGCAGTTTCCTTCTCACAACTAAAACTAACCTCAAGAAATTAAATAAATCATACTGTGTCTGTAAAACTATATTCTCATAAACAGTGGAAAGCTCACTGCTCAGCTGAAACAACCTAGAAAGTTGTTATTGATAGTTGGATGCTAATATAATAATACAAATGTTCAAAGGATTGGTCCAACATCATCTAAACATCTTCAACCCCTACTACTTGGGATATGCAAATTGTCAGCTACCATGGATACCAAATAAAGTGAACTACATTCCCATTGAACACAGGGCTGTATAGAAATGCAAGGAATTTGAAATTTGAATCAGTTAAATAAATCCATTATACACAAAGCACATATATATACAAGGTACCATTCAGTCATGGCAGGAAAGAAACAAAAGAAAATTCCAGACCAATGACCATAGGCATAAAACACAGAAATAAAAAAATACATTGCACATTAGATAGAAGCACAACGACATTCAAAAAAGGCCAAGTGATGAAATCTCAGTGGTGCCAATAAGGGAAGCTATAACCAAGACACTTGGTGGCCCTCAACCAAAATTGGCAAATAGAGTAAGGTTAGTCTGTGAGACTACGAACTGGGGCGGAATTGTGTATAGATTGTGGCCAAACATTCGTTATATCAGGTGTGTCACCACTGGAAGCATGAAGCAGTACTACCAAAAGCTCAAGTATTATGCAGGAGAGGTACCTATTTTAGTTATCGTAATCCCTATCACTCACTCCATTTTAATTAGCTCTCTTTGTGTTGTTTAGTTATCTTCATTCATATACCAACCACCACAATTGTAAAATATTGGGCCCCAGATTCATAAATTATCGTTATCAATAATTGATCAATGTTCCATTCCTCATAAGCCCACCAATTAATTCTATATACTAGGTTCTGTTTTTATTATACGTGTGTCAACATAATTTAATCTACTCTTAACATGGGGTTCTAATAGGCTTATTTCCACTACCACAGACATTCACCAAAAACACAGTGCATCATGTACCTCAAAATTGTTTCACTTTCACTGGAAACACTCAGAACATTTTCCAAACAAAATTCTTTTAAAGGGGTTTTGTTATAATGTCATGTCACCTTTTATATATATATATATATAT